ATCTATCTATCTATCTATCTATCTATCTATCTATCTATCTATCTATCTATCTATCTATCTATCTGTTGTTGACAATCTTACTCTATTTCATTTGAGCTCCCTTGAAGCCACAGGGAAAGTCTATTTTAACAACCACTTTCTTGTAAGAAGGTTGAATATATTTAAATTTCATAGCCAATCCTTAATTAACAGTGGACTTTTGAGAGACTGATGCCAGACCTCACAGTCCCAGTATTCTGTGATCACTTCCTGTGTCAGATATGACCCCGGATAAGCGGAGGAGAATGGATGGATGGAATGGATGGATGGTGGTAATTCTGCCCTCATCCACTGTGAAGGTTTGCCTTTTATTTCAGGGCCCTGAAAAGTAAGCACGGCTGTTGTTTATTGCCACCATGAGGATGAGGCTGAACCAGCACAGAGACAGTAGTTCTCTCATGTTGTGAGGGGACATTTTGTGGATGTCATGTGACTAACTACAAATCATTGTAAAGTTTTTCAAAATGAACCACTTTATTCTATCTAAACACATTTCTCTCCTGAAGGGAATAGTATTTTCCTCGATGTCAACATGCATGGAAACACGTCAGGCGGCACATAGTGGCTGCTTGTTTTCCTCTGACCAATCATGAGTGTTTGTAAGAGTACAGATATGTATAAATGACACAAACACGAACAGCAGCTGAAGACATCAAAGCTGAACTACCAACTATTTCAACTGTAGCAAACAACGATTAATAGCCTAAGCTTTCCTGTTTGGCACATAGCCATTGGGATTCTTCTTCACCACAGAGAGTTTAGGCCTCATTTGTCCATTTCTCATGCAAAAAGTAATTATAGTAAGCAACTTTAAAAAGTTGTCAATCATGTTATCAAATACATTTTTTTACTCTATTTCTTTAAACAAATTACACAAGAAAGTGGTCAGTAAATGAGGATTATGATGCATTTATTTTTTCCGTGATTGACAAAAACATGGTTTGTGTTATTTTGCTGGGGGAATTCTTAGATGCACCTCTGAGGAAACAAGGCATCCCCAGGGCCCTAAGGGCCAAGTTCAAAAGTCACTCACATTCATTATAATCTCCGAAAAAAACTGCCTGAAGTGACAGGAACGACCACAGCAAAATGGTTTGTGAATTGCTCTTTTGAGAGTAAATTGGATTTACTCTCTTCCATAAATCAACACCCATATTTGCAGTGAACGATAACAGGCTCCTTCTGTGAGGTTCGCCACACCCCCTTTCGAAGATCGCCATTTTGTTGACACACAGTCTAGTAATCAACATAAGCTCCTTTTCAGGCGCTTTAAAGACGAACGTTTCTATAACAAGTGATACCCACGAAGGAAACTTGCGTGCGCCCCCGTTCCATCACCCACGGACCCAAAGAGTGCCCCTCCAAGCTGTACAAAGCTGAATTTGTGGTCTCTGGCCTCTCATTTCAACATGAAACTCGCCGCTGTTGACGTCACCGAGCCATCTTTGTCCGCCTAATCCAGGCGGCTGTTTATTACACCTTCATTACAGCACAGACTCGGACAGAGCCAGGCTCCAGTGACAGCCCGCGGGTGCTGCATCACCAGAATATAAAAAAAACATCTAAATAATAAAAACAAGAGTCGACAGGAGAAAAGCTTTGGCAGCGAGGAGACGCAGCTCAGTGGCAGACAGAAAGCAGTGCTCCTCCTAGGATATATAGGCAGGGAAACGCCACAATAACCAACCAAAGGCTGCCAGAGGGTAACGAGGAGCGCACGAGGCAATCCACATCCATCTGCCAGCCACTTAGCGCGCGCTAACATCTTCAGTCCGGATTTCAGCGCAGCTGTCCAGCCTAAACCTCCAGGAAAATGTGAGTACAGCCTCGTTTTAATGCTCTTTTTTGGCCTGAAATCCCCATTTATGACCATTTCGAACTCATGATCCCTACTTAAGCGAGCTGGTTTGGATTTACGGCTTCGTGGTTGCCTCCCGTGTCCCTGGGCTCTCGGGTACTGTGTGTATTTTCCGGGCGTGTTGTAAAATAATTGTTACATATCGCCGTTGAATGTAATTTCACAGCTGTGTCTGATAACGTGACCCAAACGTGAAGGAGGCAAACACGTCGGCCTAACCTTGGAGCGGGCGGAAGCATTATCCGTCATTAAAGCATTATTAGCTTTATTTGTGTCTATGTACGTGTGTTTAAAAGAAAAACAAAAAAACAAAGCTCGTTGTTTGTCGTCCAGCTCTCATTCTGCCATCAGGTGGCTCTTACTCGGAGGCTGCTCGCGCGCTCTCATTTTTTCCTCTTTTTTCCAGTTTGAACTGGTTTGAATTGAAAAAGGACAGCATCCGTGTCGTTACCCACGGGCTAATTAAAAACTCCGGTCAGAAAACGTCGTGTGTTGAAAAAGCCCCCTATTATTTATTTATTTTTTTCCACCCGCTGAACGTGTCCGGGAGTTGTTGGTTTTAGCGTCGCCGAAACACAGGTGACGATTAGGCTAATTCTGGAAACAAGCAAGGACACAATGTTAAAGAGAACCCGCGGACAGCTCCGGTCCGCTCAAACCGCCTGTTGAACAGGCGAAGCTTCCACCCCATTCGACGAATACCCAGCAGACCTTGATATTTACGGTCATTTCATTAGCCGTGAATTAGGCTCAGGCCTAGTTTACGTGATATTTGCAACCTACAGCAGGGGGTGGGGATAGCCTAGCCTCCTACAGTATGTCGTCGATTGTCATGCGAGGGCGGAAAACTGTGTATCTCCCCACGCTTCCAGCTGGCTGTGTCCCATTGGTCAAAGGGTTACTGTGAAACAAATGTCTTCGTGTTTGTTATTTTCTTCTGCTTTGCTTTCACTGCACGGGATGCAGATGTAGGCTGTTTTTTTTTAAGTGACTGGCTTGGAGACAGGGCAGCCGTGACATCCCCGTCTGTCGTTCCTCCCATACAACAGGCAGCTATGACGCTGAAATGGCCTGGTGCCGACACACATGTCACCCAAGCGTGGCATCGGGCCTGTTAACGTTTCCTCTGGCCGTTTCCAAGCTAGATTTGCTCCCAAATTTGGTGCCGAGCCCATTCAAGTGCTCGGCATGAAATCTCCACGCCCTGTGTTTGGTAGGCTTTTGGTGTTTTTATGGGCCAGTTGTGGTCGTTATTCGCCTGGAAGGCTTGAAAGGACATCATTTGGGCCTGGTGTGCCTCATTGCAGGTTCAAATTCTCCAAACATCAAACAGAAAGTTAACAGGGAGGCCTGAGTTTGGCAGGAGTTTGTGTTAGTAGTTTAGGCGCTGTCCGGTTCTGAAATAGCGCTGTCCGGTTCTGAAATAGCGCTGTCCAGTGCTGAAATGTCGCTGTCTGTTGTTGACAATCTTACTCTATTTCATTTGAGCTCCCTTGAAGCCACAGGGAAAGTCTATTTTAACAACCACTTTCTTGTAAGAAGGTTGAATATATTTAGATTTCATAGCCAATCCTTAATTAGCAGTGGACTTTTGAGAGACTGATGCCAGACCTCACAGTCCCAGTATTCTGTGTTCATTTCCTGTGTCAGATATGACTTTCTTCTGCACTCATTTGTGTTAAGCTTGGTTCCAATGTAAAATTGTTTATTTCAATGGACATTACTGTTCCCTGTGCCCCAAAAAGAGCAATATGGGAAGATCCAATAGAGTTTGTAATTTTCAAAAAGAAGATCAGAGGTGTTTGATCCAGTTTCAAGATGGACACAGCAGACGGTTTTTGCTGAGGAGAAGCCTTGTCCCTGCGTAAGCGACTCTTCCTGGTGTTAGTTGAGAGGTGATGACGGCGCAAAACTCTGCACACATTGCACCTTTGTCATGATACTCATCAATAGCAAGTTCAAAGGCCCGAACAGCAGCCAGTGCACTTTATTGTTAAGCAGTGAATAAACAGTTTCTATAGCAACTCATATTTTTGTCTAATCACATTGTAGCTCTACAAAAAGGATAAACTAGCAGATGTTTTTAAACATACAAACATTTTAGGGTAGCTCTGGGTGTTATAACTGTGCTCTTTTCTTCTCTGGCTGATTGACACCTGATAGTAACCAGCAGCAGCAGGTCGCCCAGTGTAAAGGATTTGTAGTTGTTAGGGATTAGTAATGTGTGAGCGTGTGGGATGGACCTTTGTACAGAGTTTGGTTTGTTTCCAACTAAAACGGTTCAGTTGCACTAATGAATGTTTGGATGTTATCAAGAACTCCTAATTTGACTTTGTGATTATTTGTTTATTTTTTTTCCATGGTCAGTACAGCATTTTAGGTTTAGCCTAATACCAAGGAACCAAGAAACAACACATGAAAGAACAAAGTACTTTTAGATGTTTCATGAGTTACACTGACTTTTGTGCAGCTACAGGAAGTTGCCAAAAAATGTGCGTAATGTGAATACCTTTCTAAAGGCCTTTACATATTATTTGAAACAGAATTTCTAAATGTTGGCTTTTTCAGATATTGGGTAAAAAAATGACCTTGGATTAATATGTTCTTTATGCTTTGACCTTTTCAGTTTACTGTCTCTTCTGTTCTCAGATGACTTTTGTCTGACTTCTGAGATCACGTGATATTTTGGGGAAATGTCCCAGCAGGTGTATGAATGTCATGAAAGAGAATTTCATTCAGGTCCTCCTGTGGTGATCTTCAAAACCCTCTTTGCAAGCCTTTGATTTGTTGTTTAAAGATAAAAACCAAAGCACAAGGAATTAGGATTCCTGTGATTTATGATTTAAGCGTTAAATTGATACTTGATGAGGAGGTGTATCATTTTACATCCAGATGAAATCTACATAATGATTAATGGATAAATAACTATAGTTGGCTGATTTTTCTGGACTCTTTGTTTATCTCTGCAAACAGAAGAGTGCACCTCTGCTGTGCATGTATCAGTGTCTGGTTAAAGAGGTGTGGAACTCTCCATCCTCATGATACGTCCGTTCTGATGGTTGTACCTCAGTTATAGCACAACTCCCTGTAGTGTTAGCTTCACAGCACACTGCCTGCTGACATGAATTTACCTTGTAACAACAGAACAAACCAATCCTGAAGCATTCCATTTTAGATGTGCTTGCTCATCTGATAAACTTGCTCTTTACTGAAAAAAACTGTGTTGGAACTAAATGAATAGATAGCATAACAATGGAGATTCTATTGGAAATGGTCAATGGGCTTATTTTGGGAATAATGAGATGGGCAAATCAGACAAATATAGATATTTCTTTTTATCAATGGTTTCCATTCTTAAATGAAAAGCTAAATATATTATATTCCATCACATACATTGCTTTTACCCTGAGGCTGATGTAACAATAGCATTGCTTGTTGATGTTACTTTCTCTGTGTCAATATATCATATGTGTGCTTGTGTTTTCCTTGTCAGGTCTGCCCCAGCCGGAGCCCCCGCACCAGAGGGAGGGAATCAGCCCCCCAACCTCACCAGCAACCGCCGTCTGCAGCAGACGCAGGCGCAGGTGGACGAGGTGAGTGCTGTGCTACCACAAACTCTCCTTAAAATGCACAAATGCTTGTATTGGTGATAATCCACATCTTTCAGACTGGCTCCACCACATCAAACAGGTCAAAGTCTCATGCTGATTATGCAACACGGCTCTGGTTTTCTGTCCCCAGGTGGTGGATATTATGCGTGTAAACGTGGATAAAGTTCTGGAGCGTGATCAGAAGCTGTCAGAACTGGACGACAGGGCTGACGCCCTGCAGGCTGGAGCCTCTCAGTTTGAGACCAGTGCTGCAAAACTGAAGAATAAATACTGGTGGAAGAATGCCAAGGTGAGTATACATGGACTTTTAACAACCAGGCATACTGAAAGGCTGCCTTACACTGCAGCCTCTGTGGTAGAAATGCGTTCTCATGGGTCTTAGGAACATAATGCTCCTTCATGCTATGCAGTCATGCAGCAACACAGAAATTCTTTATGTTTTTCAATCTACTTACATCTAGATGGAGAAGTTGTAACTGTTTTTGTTATAACCAATTTAACTTCTTTTCTGTCCATTACAGATGATGATTATCCTGGGTGTGATATGTGTGATTGTCCTCATTGTCATTATTGGTAAGAAGCCGATGAACACTTTTTGTGCTCATCCATATATTCAGTCACTTTCCAGCTCCTGTAACAGCAGTTGTGACACTGTGTTTTTTCTGATACATGCAGTGATGTCCAGCATCATGAATGATTCTCCATTGTCTCTCTTTTCCCTCTGCAGTGTACTTCAGTACCTAAGAAGAGTCGCTCCTACCCCAGTCTGTTCCCAGCTTCCTTGCTACAGAAAAAGAAACCCTCTAATTGATGACTAAATTAACCACAGATAATTAATTTACTATATGTACGTATATCTCCCCGGCTAGCCTCGATATAACACCCCTAAACCCTTCAGGGCCCCACGGCTCCCCCACTTCCACCACCTCGCCTCTGGACCCCCGTCAATATTTGTCCTGTGAGTGTGTGGCCCCGTCTCCTTTCTGGGTACTCTTGGCTTTTCTAACCTGCCGTACTGAGAACCAAACACTTGTGATGATGCAACAACAGAGAAGGAAACAACAATTGGCGATAATTGTTACATAACTTATATATATATAGTTCTTTGTAGAGTTTTATTCTGATATATACTGTTTTGTAGGTGTGTGTGCGTGTGTGTGTGCATTTTGTACTTTTTATTTTTTGTATTAATTTTACGTATGCATCAGCGTTAACTACTGCCTATTAATCGAAGTGTGTATCTTGCATGTTCACATCATCTGTCAGTCCCCTGCTTGTTCTGCATCTTTTTGGTGTAGTTTTGCACAGTGGAGTTTGTCTCCATGTACCTATTGGGATACAGGTTCATTTTAATCTCTCCGCATTACTCACATCCACCAGGACAGTCCGAGACAAATCCAGACAATTAGTCGAATCAAATTCCCCAGATTTTTCCTAATTCATCTCCAAAGTAGTAAAAAGTTCACTCTGTCAAAAAGGATGGAGTTCAAGCGACTTTTGTGGATTTTTAAGAGAATCACTGACACGGCTCAGACAAAGAAAATAATGCATGACTTATAAAAACTCCCATCAAGTGATCATCACTCCCATCTTATCTTCCCTTTACCTGAGTGTAAAGTCTCTTTTCATTCTCTCTTTAATAACTACCATCTGAAGTGTCTTTAATGCCCAATTCGTCCTCTGTCTCTCGGCATGCTTGGACACCTCAGTTTCCTCCAATAATTTAAACTGCCATAGTAAAGTTGGACCAATGTCTGTAGATGTTTCTTTTTGTTTCGATATTACGTAGTGTCTTATTTCGAAAACATTCCTTCATTGCAGTCTAGTGCAAATGCTCTTGCTGTAGCACATGTAAGTGTAAGTACCTGTGAAACCTGTGTCAGCGACACTAACCATAGGAGAAAATAGTTGTAGTGAATAGCTGTAAGGGTCAATTTTTGGATAGACAGGATTAGACCTTCGATCCAATCTTTCTTCATTCGTAAAATCTGTGTGTTAGTGCAACACACAGCATACTGTGGAGATTCATAGAAAGCGGAAATATGGGCTAATGTCAATGGATATAATGGTTTCATTTGAAAAGATGATGATTGATTGATTTTCCAAAAGCAAAGAGCATACTGGTCCATTCCCTGTGTGGACACTGGAAAGCCTTAGTCCTCGGTCACTACTGTAAGTTTCCAGTCAAACGCACCTTCACACTTTGAGTTTGTGTCAGGGGAGTGACTGACAGCCGAAAAGGGATCTGTTTAAAATGCACAAACAACCTTGTTTTTGATGGCGCTGTCTGGCTGCTCCATAGCCTGACTAAAAGAAACGCTGGCGCAGCAAAACTTCTCTACGCGAAGAGCACATAAAAGAAAAACACAACTAAGAAAAAAAATCAGAAACAGGGACAAAGGCTAAGAGGAGAGTGATTCTCAGCCGTTCATTTACGTTTGGCCATATTGAGAAATTTACAATCTATGTTAGCGACGAGAAAAAAAATCGTAGCAATTTCTAAGAAGAGTGTTTTGCTAGCTCAGTGGTTCTGTCTCAGTGTTTCTCCCTATAGTTAAGGCCTTTTTCTTTTTTAAATATAATAGATTCTATTTTTATTATAGTATATTTTTGTGTGAATCTGACAGGTAAAGAGGAGGTGTGCATCCACTGCCACTTGCTGCCAACAGTAGCGAGCTCCTCTTCACCTCTGGTGTGGTTTTTGTAATTCAGCTCTGTGCGTTATACACTGCCAAGCATCAAGGGAGAAGCTTTTTTTCTCATTTCTTTCATTGATGCCCTCACTGGTTTGACCTTGAACTATTCTTAAACTTCTTTTGGCGTACACCCTTGTGTAAACTACCCCCTTTGGCTTCTTTGGGACTATATGAGCAGGACAATACAAAGCAGTTACATATTGAATTTCAAACAAATGCCTTGACCATGTTAGCCTGAGAAGGAATTGATGCGAAGTCAAAAGGAACATACAACCACAGAGGGACTTTGTTTTGTTAGAGTTCCTCTTGTGGTTGTGGTAAATCCCAGCACTGAAATAGTTGAACTTGACTGTTAAATTTGTTAAATTTGGGATCTTTAAGCATGCAGGCATGAATTTAGAGCAGAACTCTGCTCAGCTCATGCTTGAGTGCCATCGATTACTATTTTAAAATGAATAAGAATGAGTTTTAAAACTGAGAGCAGAAGCTGCAATTATTCATTATATATGTAAATCCTTTGTAACTCTGTCTCTAAGAAGACCAACCTTCCCCTCATTACTCAACTCTCTAATTCAGATTCCTACCGTGTGTTAGCGTGTATGCAAGCAGTTGCTTCGGTGTGTATGTGCCTGTGTGTGTGTGAGTTAGAATAGCTCTGTCTCGGGAATATCCCCAGTTTATCCTGACAGATTAGGCCACTTAAATCCCAGAGTGAGGGCATGTTGTTTCCTTGGGCCAGTGAAGTGCACAAGCAGAAAGGTTGCAGATCTGTCAACCAGTCCCATTAGAAAAAGCCCCCCGCCACTTTTCCTTTCTCCCAAGTGTTTTTCTCTGGAGTAAAACAAACTGCAGACGATTACCAAAGATCAGATATCCGTGCTTACGCTGCCAATTGCCATCAAAAACAAGAGCGAAATAGAACATCAGGCCTATCCGAGCCCATTTGGAATAGCTTAAACCCTTACTCCGTCTTTAGACTTTTTAGCTATCACACAATATGTATATATGGTGTGTCAGTTTGGCCCATGAGTGTGCTATCCTAAAATATGCAAGTTAAACCAAAACGTGAGGGCCGCGGGCTTCAAATCTCAAACAATATCTCCCCTATCATTAGTATCCGGGTCTGAGGAGCCTCTTTAATCTGTACCAAGTTTGTAGACATATGATCCTGTAACTGATTATAGCACAAGTCTTCTTTTTTTTTTTCTTCATTGTGCTGAAAAGATGTGAACTAAGTATAGCTATCAGACAAAACCAAGAAAAATGTTCTTAAAAAAATCTGCATTGTTTGGTGTTGTAATATGGGGGTGTTTTGGGGGCTAGGGGGTCCTATATCCTCAGGTTTAAGGTATTTACCATTTACCAAAATATATATAGAAATATGTAAGAGGATTAAAACTATACTAGCAAGCTGTAAAATTGGATTCTTTTGGCAATATGAAATTACCCTAAGGTTACAAATGTAGTCCACACACAGGACTGAAGTGAATTAACACTACTGATTGGGGTAGGGCTTCTGTGTTATCCATAAATCCAACTGTTGTCCAGTGAGTGCTCAACCAGTTTGGTCACAATAGTGAAAATGAAGTGAGTGCTCTTTTTTTTTCTCTGTTGCTTTGTTGTCTGTATGAAAAAGAAGTAAGTGTGCATTTATTTCAACACGGTGGCACTTTTTCTGTTGTGATTCTTTCATTTTGGTGGGATGATTGACTGGAGAATCTTATCTTTGGTCAGCCTAAAAGAACTGTTCAGTGATCTCAGTGCTGCATTCAGGTCATTTTGGGGGAAAGATAAGTCAACAACTAGACCCAGTGTGCAGACCGTCTTCCAGGTTTGAGTTCATCCTAATTTGCTAAAAATCCGAATTTGAGCCCAAACTAGCTGAGAGAAAGAGATGAAGGAGGATCTGATCCTTTTTTTTTAACAAACTGACGCGAAATGTACAGAGTGCTCTCCTTCTTTTACTTTTACCCTCAAAATGGATGAATGCAGCAACAGGAGGGAACCTTTTGAGTCTCTGGATGTTCTCTGGGTGGCTTTAGATATTCAATATTCAACTTAACACCTTAACATGTTTCATTTTTTAACCAAATCTTGTGTTTTTATTTTAAACCTGTTTAGTAACAACTGCAGATGTCACTGAAATGTTTGCATCAGCACTGATGGGTGAAGGTAAAGAAAATGGGAAGTTAATGGGAAAAAAGTATTTTTACCAACAATTGTCCAGAATGCTTAGAACGATTCTACAGTTTACATCAGATAACTGTTTCTATTGACGAGATATATTTTTTGTTTGAATCAGGTTATTTTTAAAGTATCGATTTCATCTTTTTTTGGGAGCGGGTTTCTGGCATTGCCTCTGTTTGTCTGGTCTTACAGGAGGGACAAGACTGGAGGATCATGGGCAACGTTATAATAAGTGATTTGGTTTATTTTCACTTTTCTTTTTGCTTTTGTTTATTGATAGATTTATTGTGCTGTCCTTTGGTATGGGATTAGAAACTTAACAAGTTGATTCAACGTAAAGGAGAGGAGACTGATTGAGAAAGTACATGAAATAATTGTAGTGTAAATCTATCAATGTGTTATTATATTGATGAACATCATGAAATATATGTATATTGGAAAAACAGTATCTGTGACAACTTGTACTTTTGTGTGTGCTTCATGTGCTGTGTGGGTGTGCAGAAAAGAGAAGATGTAATTTTGACTGCAATTCCTGGGACCTTACCTAACCTGTGTGAATAAGCATCGGTTTATTATCAATACAGAGATCAATCTTTTTCCTTATCTGATCCTTATTACATGTAAGTGTGCCAAAAAATACATGGAGACCTGGAGCCATAAATTGCATGTTTCTGCACTCGTCCAGAGTCTTCTTTAGCGTGCGACTTCCACACACCCAAACCACACTGCAACTCTCAGGCAACACCCCAGACTATAAACACTTGGTCACACTACCATCTTCTCTGATAACGAACGAAGAAACATACACTGCTACACTGAAACTAAAACAATTGTACTTTTAGTGTTATTGGCATTACAGTTAAAGGATTACTCGAAGTAGCTATCGAAATCAAACATTCTGTGAATGTGATACAGGTGTTGAAGTGGCAATACAGGTAAAATGATGGTACTGAGAAGGCAATGATGGGTAAAAACAACATTTTTTTTTTTAATTAAGGATACACTGGGAAACATAAAAGCAGTGTAAAAAAAAAAAAAATCAGATAGCAGTCATTAAGAAGTAAGATATGGTCTTGACTGCATCAACATTTCAGGAAATTTTCATAAATTGTCATCATCGTCCCCGGTTACCCTGCTTTTGACATGCACACAGGCTTCATGCATGTCATTTGAAATAAATTAAATAAAGATTTTCACTTGTTGCATGTTCAACAAAAAAGGCAAATCACGAAAAGAATACTTCACACAATATTACCGGATTTTCTGCTGTGTCTAGGTCCAGTAGGTGATGTATGAAATTTTGGCAATACCTGTAAATCACATCCCAACAATATTTGGGAATTATGGTTCAAATTTTCAAAATGACATCCAAGTTATTTCACAGTTCCAGAGGTGCCACAATGAGTAGTTACATTCAACCAAACAATCATGTGAATCTAGTGACAAATTCAGCTTGGTAGTTGGTGGGGGGGGGGGATTTTTTTGTTTATTTTATATACGTATTTTAGTAAATTAGCTAAATGGTATAATGGTCATGATAACATTTCATTTGAAAAAAAAAGGACACAAGAGCGGTTGGGGACTATTTTATTTGCGGATGAACATTACTCGGTGACGTGTTTGGAGTATAAATACCCCGTTTCCTTGGTGATTCCGGTTAAAGGGGGAGTCGTTTGTTGTAGTCTGTGTTACGTCGCTGAAAACCACCGTAAGTAAGATTTTCCTTTTTTCATTGTCATTAATCTGTATTTATCTCTAGATATCGTGATCATTATATGTACATTATGTGGTGTATATGTTTCTTTTCACTTTGTTCTTTTTAGCACCTGTCGTACGTCAAGAAAGACAGGAGAAGGGAACTTAGCTAGCAACAAAAAGAAAACATTTTTTCAAACAATTTAGCTCTTTATGCCACGATATCAATTCATTTTTGGATAGCCGTGTGGTACTTCAATATGAATTGTTCCACAACATATAATTGTTGATTCTGTCAAGTAACAAAGAGCCTCAATGTCTATCTTTTGTCGGTTTGAAAGTGCAACGTTAGCTGGAAAAAAGAAAGCAAACAATGGCTTTTTCTAAAATGGCGCTGGGGCTCGAATCACCGGCCTTTTGCCAGTTTGTTCCTGTGAGGCCAAAGGCTCTAGTTTTGTGAAAGGGATGCCTTTTTGTATGTGTAAATTTAGTTTAAAATTTTAACTTTTAACTAGTCAAATCTTTGATCCTAGTATCCTTTTTTTTGTTGTGGTTTATTTCTGGCAAAGACTATTCGTAACGTGGGTTTTGTTTTTCTAGAGTCAAACATGCAGATCTTTGTCAAGACCCTCACTGGCAAAACCATCACCCTTGAGGTTGAGCCCAGCGACACCATTGAGAATGTCAAGGCCAAAATCCAGGACAAGGAAGGCAT